GCAGCCAAGCCATTAGCTCTATCCAAACAAGCAGAGGAAGAGAAGTCTCTTTCTTCCACTAGGAACATCCTTTAATAGCTGTTGTAATGCTTAATCTTCCTCTGAAAGCTAAATGCTTCCATTTGTGATTTGATTCTCTTCCATCTCTCCCATGAAGAGAATCCAAACTCTTTGACTTGGTAATCTCTTCCTTCTTTCTTTAGAATCGATAAGCAACGTTGCCAACACGACTCTTTGAGAGGGATGTCAGAAAGGATCATTTTTACCGAATTGTAATCATCATCTTCCTCCCTCTACCCTGATCCCTTTCTGATTCCGATGGAAGATTTCTGCTCAAACGTGTTCACATGAGGTGAGACCCCAAAACATTCTCTTCATCTCCACGGTAAGTTCACCAAATCCATCTAGGTCTCATCCGTGGATTTGACTGGAGTATTCCCACCACACACGAGCCTCCTTCTATAAGAGGAATACGGCTATCTAAATCTTTTTCCACACTTGTGATTTCGATTATACTAAAGCCGTTCTTCAGATCATGAATCCAGTGATTCAATCTTCGAGAATTCACTCTTCTCAAGGAAAGGTTGAGCTCTTAATATCGGCTAATCCAAAGATACGCACCCGGCCACGTATGTAGTCTGTCAACACGCCGGCTAATCCAAAGACGCGTGCGACCTCACACTGGGCCTGGCTACATTCTTACCAGCCATCACACAATCACATCATCCCTCATACGTCGGGACGCACCCGGCCACGTATGGAGTCTGTCAACACGCCGGCTAATCCAAAGACGCGTGCGACCTCACACTGGGCCTGGCTACATTCTCACCAGCCGAAATCACTTGCCGAAATCGGTGGCCGGACGACGGAGAACGAAGCCGGCGAAGTTTCGGGCGAAACCGGGCTGTTTTCTTCGATTTTCCGGCGAAATCCCGGCGGATGGCGGCGAGACCCAGCTGGGGTAGGAAGAGGACGGCGGCCCGGTCATTTTGGTACCGGCCCCGTCGACTTTGGTGGTCGGACGAGAGCACGGCCGGCCAAAACGTGGTCGGCCACCGTGGCTGTCGCGAACCAGAGGAGAGAGGAACGCACGGGAGAGAGAGAGAGACGGGGGCAATTCCGTCTTTTTAACCAAAAATCCAATTTCCAAATATTTACGATTATGCCACTGAGCTTCTTTTGATCATATATCTCTCGTTACAACTCCGATTCGAGCCCACTACGTGTCTACGGACTCATCTCACCGTGCTCTACGCAACGGTACAACCGGAATTCCCAAATTTCTTACGGGTAAGAAAATGACCAAAATACCCTTATCCCACGGGTAATTTCTCAATTCCACTTAAATTAATTAAACATGGGATAAATTTGGGGTCGGGGTGTTACACCTATAGAATACTATTGATTGTACCTGTGACTGTAGCATATGTAGAAAGAAGTTTTCTAAATTAAAATTGTAGAAATCTTACTTCAGGTCTACCATGTCACAAGAAAGGCTAAATAGGAGAGAAATTTTATCCATTGAAAAGGAGAAGTTAAAAAAGCTTGAATTTGAAAGCATCATTGAGGATTTCGCTTCTTAAAATGCAAGAAGAAAATCATTTAAATATTACTTTTTTTAGTTGTGATTTTGTTGTTTTTCACCTTATCTTCCATGTGGTGATGTTGATGTTTTGCTGGTTGATGAGGATGCAAAGGGATTTTAAGTGGGCTGCTATTGTTTGCTTTGGCTATTGAGGATGCAAAGGCATTTTTGTTTTGCTAGTTGTTGAGCATGCAAAGGGATTTCAAGTAGTTTATTGATGTTTGCTTTGGCTATTGAGGATGGAAATACATTTTTGTTTTGTTGGTTGTTGAGGATGTAAAGAGATTTCAAGTAGGTTGATGTTGTTTGTTTTGGCTATTGAGGATGCAAATACATTTTTGTTTTATTGGTTGCTGAGGAAGCAAAGGGATTTCAAGTAGATTAATGTTGTTTTGCTTCGGCTATTGAGCATGCAGAGAAATTTTTGTTTTGCTGGTTGAAAAAGAACTTATTAAATTGTTGCAAGTGTTTATCTTGTTTATACAATGTAGCGTTTTATTATGAATTTTATATATTAAAATTTGAAATGATATAATTTATTTATCTTGAATGTTAAAATTTTAGTTAATTTAGATAGATTAGATCTTGATTGAAAAATGAAAGTGAATTAAATTTAAATATATAGGAGCATGAAAGTGAAAAATTCAGGACCGGCACTGTGCAATAGTTAAATCAAATATCACAAATATGGGGGGAGAATTTGATCAGTTAATAACTTAATATCTTTGTTTACAATTCATCCCACAATAATCCAACCGACCAAACCCCACTAGTACTCGGAGGAATTGGAGTGGAGACGGCGGCTAACAGTCCTGTCTTGTCCTGTCTCGCGAGGATGTGAGATGGAAAGTCTTTCTCGGGAATGCCCGTCACATGATTTGACATAAAGCTCTAATGCCACTTTTTAACTCCACAGCTCTTTCTTAAAATGTAATAAATATATAAAGAAAAACTATTAATTAATTTAGAATGATTTGATTAACCTGCTGCCACTAATTGTTCCACTCCAAGGGGACAATTCAAGTTTAATCAGTTAATTAGATGCTAAAAAGGAACTAATTAAGCAGATATTCGTTGATCTTATTAGTTTGGCATGAGCTTTATTTGTAATTTTGCGGTCAAAGCTATAGTTGAAGACAATAAAAGGAATCTACTCTGCTATAAATCGATCCATATACACTGCCCATGGTCAAACAAAATTTTTTTTGACTATTTATAATATGTTACCAAACATAAGATACGAAAGCTGGTTTGCTAAAACATTGCCAAGAAACTCATCTCCTACTCCTCCTGGGGTTTATCTCTCTCGCATATGATGTCAACGAAGTCAAATCAATGGAAAAAAGCCTTTAGTTGCAAACAAAAGGTCTTAGATTTTAAACTTGTATGACGTCATTTGTGTATTTATATGAGAAATTTCCTTCCGCTCTAATTTTGACTATGACTTGTACTTTAAAAAAAAAAAAAACTATATGATGGATTGTGAAACAAGATGGCAGGAGAATATTCACAAAACATTTTTTTTTTATCATTTTAAATTTTGGGGTACTAATATTTACTAAACTTTCAGCAAAACAAGAAGATGCATCCACTTGGTTTTGAGCATATAGAGAAGGGATCTTGGCGCTCCAATTCTTGCTAAAATTGACTCATATTTTGCAAGTGGGGTATTAATAATTATGGACTATATTCTAAGCAATGAGTCAGCAGTTGGATTAAGAAAGAAACTAATTTATAATTTGAATTATCCATACTTAGTACTCCGACCGTATATAGTGACTTTGTATTTTCTTGTATAGTGACTTTCGTTCAACCCAAAGTTTCAAACATTGATGAAACCTACTGCATATTATTATAAACTTTATTCGGTCTCAGTTGAAGTAGATGTAAATGTCCTCTACATTAAGGCTCTTGAAGCATCTATAAGGTTGTTCATATTAGTGTCGTAATAAATCATTTAAATTGCATATTAATTTACTTATTTCTCTTCTAGATATTGCTCGACTCTTTACCTGTAAGGAGTCATTTCTTTCTTATAGGCAGATTACAGGAGAAATAACGCGAGAACAAGACTGTAATTTATCTACAAGAAGAATGGCTCCTCAAGTATTTTCCTCTAATTTTACGTCATTAGCATGATCATGGTGACAGCTCACGCACACACTTGGATAACCGAAGAAAACTTGGGCGAAGCAGACCCAGTTTTGACCAGCAATATCTCGCTTTACGGCTTTAGCATATTCCTTCTCCTTCTTTCAAAGCCCCCAAAGATGACAATCGGCAAAGCCAGCCTCTTCCTTGTTGTCCCCAGTCGTATTTCGTATAATTCGGTCTGTAAAGCTAAGCAAGATGGACCCCACTTCCTCATCCCCTTTACAACTACCAAACTAGCCCTACCGGCAAACTCCTCCTTTGTGAACCTTTGAGCTTCGTACCAATTTTCTATTTTCCCATTCTCCACCTCCACGTGGCACCATCACCCTCCAAAGTCCAAAATTTTATTTCTATATAAAAACCACACACAAGGCTCCACTCAGCTTTTCTATCGGCCGAGTCAGTGTCACAGTCTCTCTACCTCCAAAGCCGGCAACGGATCATCATGAGGGTCCAATCATGGCTAGCCATCTGCTCCACAACTCACGACTCAATCATTCCCTTCTCTAAAACCGAGCCATCGCCGTCGTCTCGGCCGAAACTCGGAGGTTCTGATACCAGCAGCTCCTCCGATTTTCCCAGTACCAGTACTAGCGACACCTCCAGTAGCAGCCTCCAAAGCAATCTCTCCCTCCAGACGCTACCATCTCTCCCCTCCCTCCAGAAGCTTTCCCCTCTCGACGCCCTCGACCTCTCCGTCTCCCACCTCTGCTTCACCACTCTCACACCCCGACAGCCCTCTCTCCCGATCACCTGCCTCGCGGTGCACCGCGACCTTCTGTACGCCGCATCGGGCCACGAGATCAACATCTACGATCGAACTGCCTGCACGCATCTTGAGTCATTCAGCGCCCGCGATGCCGGTTCAGTTAAGGCCGTTAGTTTTTCTGACGGCAAGGTGCTCAGTTCGCACCAAGATTCTAAAATTAGAGCCTGGCAGTTGACGACGGCGACTAAACGGCACAAGCTTTTAACCGTCCTCCCAACCTTCACCGACCGCCTGCGCCGCTTCGTCCTCCCCAAGAACTATGTCACCATCCGCCGCCACAAGAAACGGCTCTGGATCGAACACGCTGATGCCGTTACCGGCATCGCCATTAATAATGGCTTGATTTACTCCGTTTCCTGGGACAAGAGCTTGAAGATTTGGAGGGAGACCGATCTCCGCTGCGTTGAGTCCGTTAAGGCGCACGAGGACGCCGTGAACGCCGTGGCGGTCTCGAAGGACGGGACGGTTTACACCGGGTCGGCGGATCGGCGGATCCGGGTGTGGGCGAAACCATTTGGAGAAAAGCGCCACGTGCTGGTGGCGACTTTGGAGAAGCACAAGTCAGCGGTGAATGCTCTGGCCCTAAACGACGACGGATCGGTGCTGTTTTCTGGGGCTTGTGACCGTTCAATCTTGGTGTGGGAGAGAGAGGACAGTGCGAACCACATGGCGGTGACGGGGGCGTTGAGAGGGCACGGAAAAGCTATACTGTGTTTAATCAACGTCGGGGACATGTTGTTGAGTGGGTCCGCTGATCGGACGGTGAGGATGTGGCAGCGTGGGGGAGACGGGAGTTTTAGCTGTTTGGCGGTTTTGGAGGGGCACGTGAGGCCGGTGAAGTCGTTGGTGGCGGTTGCGGACGGTGGTTCAAACGGTGTCGTTTCAGTTTACAGCGGAAGCTTAGACGGAGAGGTGAAGGTGTGGCATGTGTCGATTTCGAATGGGAACAGTGAGAATATTAATCCAGTGTGTGAGTTGAAAATGTAAGAAAATAATTACGTACAGCAAGTACCATAGAATCTACTGCGGCAGTAGCCCCGCCGCAGCCGACGATCATTATCTGATATTTTTTTCTGGATGTGATTTGCTAGATTTTATATTTTATTTTTGGTGAAGATGTGATTTGTTAGATATGTAGATACCATAATCATTGGTTTGTTTAATACAGACTTGTTTTGGTACGTTGAGTGAAGATTCAGAAATGTGAAATATTATATATCTAATGAAGAAGATGTCATCACTTTATCTGATCGACTGAAAGAAGCATATTATATTCAGTATTTAACGGGAAGAAGAAGAGAGAGCAAGTCCTCAGCCGATGAAGACAAAAAACAACTTTGCGAATTCCATGTGTTTTGCTGCATAACACCCTCCCAAGAACGCGATTAATTATACAACAACCGTCCTCTTTTCAATCTTTGATATCATACCCGAGATTACCGCCCCGCCAGTTTGTAATTATTCTGGATTGATATATGCGTCCATAAGAAAAACAGATTAACAAGCATATGGCGTTCATTTCTATCCCAATCCACGCATGGCATATCTAGCTAGCTCCATGCATTGTGCCTTAATTTGTTTCCACGCATTTAATTAAAAATGAACTTAGTACACTTGCACGTCATTACTAATTAATTAGGGAATATATACAGAAAGTAGATGCGGGGAAGGCAAGTTGTTCAAGGTGCTCGGGTCACTCCCATTGCACTTAAGTTCGAGTCTTTTTTTTTATATATATATATTAAAATAATTTTTTAGACTAGTGTTTGTATAAATAAAAGAATAAATTAAGAATAATAATCATTTTCTCCTTTGTCCTATCGAATAATGAAACTTAGTAAATGCGAGCTGTCTCCTCATTGTGTCTGAAAAGAAGGGCGATTTAAACAGCACCAATTTGAAGTAATTAATTTAGATTGAAATAATTACTAGAGGACAATCCTCCATGTTAAATCATTATCGACGACTAATGTGGACTGATTCAAAATCCTTGTAATTAACAACGCAATGCATTTTGGATTGGATTATGCATAGACTATTATCAATCATGGGATTTTGAGTCTTTGTATTTAGTTATCGTGCATTTCATAAAATTTGGTCCACTCTACTCCAATAATCTAATGGTTCATATTATACCACATCATATTAATCTAATAGTCCGGATTTTATGAAATGCACCAAAATGCATGATAGATTAATGGAGTGGACCAACTTATTAATCCTCACTATCAAATTGCCAACTTGTGCCCCCCCACAAAACCTCATCCACTTTTCCCTTTTTCATTACTGTTTCAATAAAAATCAAGCAGATGGTTCTTGTAGACAATGACATTAGGAAAAAAAGAAAAAAAGAAAGCCAAAAACACGATGGTAAGGTTCTCCGCTATAGAATATGGATAATCAAGAAATACTTTTTATTGTTTGAAATTCTTATCCATAAGAGCAGCCATGAGGTCCCAACAGTATACAAACAGCAGCCTTAGTATTCTTTTTTGTCCTGGTTTTTTGTTTTTTGAACCTTGCATGCAAGGAAAGGAAACAGGTTAGGGTCTCTTTCAATCAAGCTCTCTCATATGTGAAAACTATCGGCTGTCTGTCAGCAACAATCCGCCTTGGTATTATTTAATATGGGGGACATAAAATTATAGCAACAAAGAAGAAAAACACATAAACAAAAGACATGAGAAGAAAACCCAAACGTGAGCTTGGGTTTCATTCAAAAGACATCTCTCTGCTCAATGTTTTCTGCGCTTTTGATTCAGTTTCAGAGTTGACCAATATAATTGTTGAAGGGTCAAATTCACTTATGATCTGGTCTTCAATTTTTTTAGTCAAATTAATGTACTGCAGACGGCACTAGCTTGTTCGACTATGTTAATAGGTCATATATCTGAGCCTATTAGAGGACGCCATGTGGCAAGTGAGATTGGGGCATTCATGTACCGACCCGACCAGGTTGACCACTCCAGGTTCACTGTAAAGCACTAGTATACTAACCCAACCAAATTCCTATTAGACACTTCATGCACTTAATACCAGCATGGGAGCTGAAAGAGAGTACTTAATGCGTTTCACATCCAAGCCAGGTGTCATCTTACTACTTGGTCCTTGATAATCAGCATAGTAACTAGTGCCCATAACCATTATCTGATCACAACATTGGAAATGGTTGAAGATCTCTCCTTTTGCTAGATATAAGGAGAGATGGTCTCCCCTTCTCCCTTTATAAATACTCTTCACCTACACTGAGACAAAGGTAGTACCCATTCTCACCCAGAAACTCTGTATCCATTTCCCTACTTCAAACCAGCCTCTAACTTAGCCATTGAAGGGGGTTTGACTGGTATCACACCAGTTTCCATTTTTCTGATAGTCTAGCTACTTGAAGTGTGTAAGTTATCCTAGAAGACCGATTCAACCCAACAACCCAGGATACATTTTGGTCCTGACCCGAGTTAGGCCCCAGTCCAACAGGAGAACCATTCTCCCTATCAACAGACTAGATAGAGAACTACTGTCATTAATAATAATGATTCATGCAAAGAGAGAGAGAGTGAGTCTCAGTGAGAAGTTCCTAATTACTTTTAGTGTTACAGTGTTTGAATAAAACGGGCAATATGCTAAATGACCTAGCTTCACCTTCAAGTCACCCACCAGCTAGTTAATTAGGTTTTGAGAAACAAATTAAAATTAAAATATGTCAAAGTTCGCATACAGGATCAACAAGCCCCTATAGCTCAGTGGTAGAGCGTCAGTCTTGTAAACTGAAGGTCTGTAGTTCGATCCTGCATGGGGGCATCTTTTATTTTTTACATTTTTCATGTTACTTGCGCTGCCGGGCTTAACTTTACCTTAAAAAAGACCTCTGGCTGGCCTTACCAAAATGAATCAATACCCATAAAAGGTTATGGGCTATGAATCATCCATGCATATCCAATAAGACAAATTTTAAAACTGACCAATTTAACTTCTCTCATTTACTTTTAATCTTTCAATCAATTCCATCCAAGGGGATTTTTTTTGTTTGTTTGTTTTTTCTTTTGACTGAGTGATATTTAACGATGTCTAATCTGTGTGGAGGAAAATCGAACTCGAGTGCAAAAGATCGGGCGCATTACCTTGGCCAATTGGCCTAACCCAGATATATTCCAAAGGTTTATTTGTATCGATAATTTTAAATGACGGATGCAGTGATCAAATTTTGGGTATGTTTGAAAGTTCTCAAAACTTGTCGGCAACTCTGTTCCTTCTGCTACAAATATAAATTTAAAATTTGGGTTCATCTCTCCAAAACTACGCCCAATATAATCATCCCCGTAATTTAGTTGGGCCCATTGCAACATTACACAACTACAGAAGAAGCCCAGACACACACGAGCACCCAATGCCAGAATGGCATTCTCGATATATTATTAACATAGAGGGGTACGTTTATGCGTCCAATCCGCCAAGCGCTTCTATAAATCCCGCCCTACCAATCCCCAACCCTAACGCCGCTCCTCCTCAATGTAAACATTTCGGCTTAGATTATTTTCAGTAGAACTAGAACAAATTTAGGGCTTTTTTTTTTTTTTTCTTCTCTTTCGAGTCGCTTTCGATAGGCGTTACGTTCATCGGCTGGTTTTCAAATCCAGAGGGACGTGTCAACGGAAGCGTAGATTCAAATTCGATCCCAACCCAATTTATCAAAAACAGCCTACGCATTGTAGTGTCGTTAATGGTTTTGGGCCGATTCGGGTCGTGACATTTTCGTCTGTAAATAAATTCGTTGCTTCTTATGGTGAACGCCCTGTAAATTTCGATTGGTTGGGGATGTTCAAGTTTCCGAAGCATAGATTAAAAATCACACCAGTATTAAACAGCACCGTGCGTTTTGCACTGCGCTACCTGTCTCCTGGTACAGTTTTTAATTCTCGTGGATTAAAATTAAATAATAATTTATGGGTGAGCAGTGATGATGAACAAACCCTTGGCTGTAGTTATGATCTGGTCTTAGACAACCAGAAGCTGATTAGTAAGGGATATGTCTGAGCTCACTTGTCCTTTCTTGTTTTCTTATCTCTGCTTGCAATAGTTCTTCATCAGATCTCCAAGGGATTTGAATAAATTAACTTGCAAATGAAAGTGGTAATCAAATTTTATTGATACTTATAATAATAATATGGAACATTAACAAAGTAATGAATCACACACCATGCCCCTGAAGCACCATAGAGGCTATGCTAGGGACCTTTTACAAGCTGTAATTATTATCAAAATAGTAGCAAAGCAGAAGAAGCAGCAGCAGCAGCAGCTGATGGGGTAGGGTTTGGGCGTGATTTCACTCAATCGGTGCAGCAGCGGAACATGGAAAACCTTTCCATGAGACGGCCGCATTCAGCGCAGGCCACCGTCTCAGGCATGATTCCGGTTGCAGGCAAAATAAGATTAGTGCAGTGATGGGGAGCTTGTTTGAACACTCCTTCTAGGTGTTCATTCAGCGCCGGGATGAACCCTGCGTCGGCTGCCCTGATCTTCCAGTCGGTAAACTCCTTCAGGCTTTTCAACATGTGGTCTCCATTGG